GGCTTTCATCTCCTGACAACAAACCACATTTCAGCAAATGATATTCATCTCAGCGGTTTCTTCCGCATTATTAATTATTATAAGAACCATTTGTTACAGGAAAACAATAATTAAAATCATCAACAACATAACATACAAATACAAAATAACTATGTGTGTTGTATGTGGTGTTCTCTCGGTGAACAGCAGGCGGCGGTGGCGCGCGCAGTGCCCGCTGGCGAGAACGCGCAGAAGAAAGAGGCTGTGACGCGAGTTATGCGCGACGGCGCGAGCTGAAGGACAGCGAGTGTGGATTATTAATATCATTATATTAATGTTTTGAGTGAGTGGACCTACAGTTCGCGGTGAGTGATCGCATGTGCTTCTGTCAGCTAGAGAGAGAGAGATTTATTTGTTATGTATTATTAATTTCAGGGTTGCCAACTCTCACGCTTTTGGCGTAAGACACACGCTCTCAGTAAATCTCACATATGAGAATATGAGATATGATATGAATCAAAGATCAGAAACACACGGATTAGTTCCACACAGCCAGCGCTGTCACTGGATCAGGACACAGGGATTGCAGGGGTTTCTGGTAAACATTGCAGTATAGAGTGCATTCACTATTAAACACATTAACTATTTTGTAATTAAATAAATGTTCAATATTTTAGCTCAATAATATTTATTAAATATTTTGAGTAGATCTTTCGGTACTAAATACTATTTGTGGAATAATTATGGTCCATTAATGACAACTTGAAATCATATTTTTTTCTAAGATTTTTTATTATTTATATTACAATTAGTATAGTATTTAAGGCTAAAGTGGAGAAAGGGTTTTAAATTAGGAAAATTAGAGTCATTTTGTGGCCAGAAAAAATAATATTTTCCATTTGTAATGCCAGGGTTGTCCACTAGGTGTGGCTCTTTCATAAACACATGCATTACTAGTCTAGCTCTGAGTATTGCAGATCATAACTGCGGTTTTGCACTTGAATACATATTTAGACATGATCAAACACTAGATGATCACATGATTCATTAAAAAAGTTAATAATTAGTTGGCAACCCTGTGTATATGTACATGCATGATTGGAAATGCTTGGCAATAATAGATTATTAACAATTGTCATGCCAATAAAGCACATGTCCGCGCTAAACTAGTGATCAATGGTGTAACATCGACAGTTATAGTCTCATCACTGCACGGATCGTGTTCATGTGTAATCAGCGACGGATGAGTTATTAGTTATGAATATGATCTGTATTAGTGCTTCTCTCTGTTCAGATTGAGGATGAGCGTCGGTCTGCTGTCACGCGCACTGAGCGCGCTCTCTGTGTCGCGCGCCGCCTCACCTCAGGTCAGATCTTCATCCTCCTCTTCATCACACATTACCTGTCATCACGTCAGCTGATCATTAATCACGTGCTTCACTCAGATCGCGAGTGTGTCCGGTGTGTCCGCGGCTCTGACCGGAAGTCGCGGCTTCATGACGAGCGCGTGTGAGTGTCAGAACCGGAGCCTGTGGAAGCAGAGAGAGAAGTACACCGTGCGACCGATCGGCATGAAGAAGACCGGGGGACGAGATTACACAGGTCACACACACACACACACACACACACTCTGACAGTGTCTGTGCTGCAGGGAGGATCGTCACACACACACACACACTCTCTCTCTGACAGTGTGTGTGCTGCAGGGAGGATCGTCACACACACACACACTCTCTCTCTGACAGTGTGTGTGCTGCAGGGAGGATCGTCACACACACACACACACACACACTCTCTCTCTGACAGTGTCTGTGCTGCAGGGAGGATCGTCACACACACACACACACACACACACTCTCTCTCTGACAGTGTGTGTGCTGCAGGGAGGATCGTCACACACACACACACACACACACTCTCTCTCTGACAGTGTCTGTGCTGCAGGGAGGATCGTCACACACACACACACACACACACTCTCTCTCTGACAGTGTGTGTGCTGCAGGGAGGATCGTCACACACACACACACACACACACTCTCTCTCTGACAGTGTGTGTGCTGCAGGGAGGATCGTCACACACACACACACACACACACTCTCTCTCTGACAGTGTCTGTGCTGCAGGGAGGATCGTCACACACACACACACACACACACTCTCTCTGACAGTGTGTGTGCTGCAGGGAGGATCGTCACACACACACACACACACACACACTCTCTCTCTGACAGTGTCTGTGCTGCAGGGAGGATCGTCACACACACACACACACACACACACACACACTCTCTCTCTGACAGTGTCTGTGCTGCAGGGAGGATCGTCACACACACACACACACACACTCTCTCTCTGACAGTGTCTGTGCTGCAGGGAGGATCGTCACACACACACACACACACACTCTCTCTCTCTGACAGTGTGTGTTCTGCAGGGAGGATCGTGACTCACGGTATCGGCGGCGGACACAAGCAGCGCTACCGTATGATCGACTTCCAGCGTCTGCGCTACGAGCCGGGCCGCGAGGACCAGCCCATCGTGGAGAAGGTGGTGGAGGTGCGGTACGACCCCTGCAGGTCAGTGTGTGTGTGTGTGTGTGTGTGTGTGTGTGTCCTCACGGTCACATGACCTCTGCAGGTGTGTGTGTGTGTGTGTCCTCACGGTCACATGACCTCTGCAGGTGTGTGTGTGTGTGTGTGTGTGTGTGTGTGTGTGTCCTCACGGTCACATGACCTCTGCAGGTGTGTGTGTGTGTGTGTGTGTCCTCACGGTCACATGACCTCTGCAGGTGTGTGTGTGTGTGTGTGTGTGTCCTCACGGTCACATGACCTCTGCAGGTGTGTGTGTGTGTGTGTGTCCTCACGGTCACATGACCTCTGCAGGTGTGTGTGTGTGTGTGTGTAAGTAATAAAAGGGCCCTGTCGCGCGTGTCCTTGTGCACACAGGTCAGCTGACATCGCGCTGGTCGCCGGCGGCAGCCGCAAGCGCTGGATCATCGCCACGGAGACCATGGAGGCGGGAGACGTGATCCGGTCGTCCAGCGCCATCGGACGCATGGCGGTTCTGGCCAAAGAGGGAGACTCCCATCCGCTCGGAGCTCTTCCCATCGGCACACTCATCAACAACCTGGAGCTGCTGCCCGGGAGAGGAGCGCAGTACATCCGCGCCGCAGGTCCGACACACACACACACACACACACACACACACACACACACACACTAGGGCAGGGATTCCCAAAGTGTGGTACGCCACCCCCAGGGGTGCAGAGAGGAAAAATGTAATGGCGTTCTGTTTTTTTAAGTGGGATTTTTCCATACAATAAAATAAAAAACCATGAACAGTAAACATTTCCTTTGCAATCGCTTTTATTTTAAATAAAAAACTATAATTTATTAGTTTTCGATAGAAACGTAGAAGACAGCTGCTGCCTCCTCCTCCTGCAGCCGCTAGGCTAGGCTATACGTCACGTGATCAACTTCTACATTCAGATGTGCTGGCGCTGAGCCAGTGCTGTCGTACATCACAACTACTGAGTGCTTGCAACCACATGATGTTTATTTTAGGTTTCAGACATTTAAATACACAGAAGTACTAGCAAAACAATGACTTTGATTTTGCTGATTTCTATGGAAGAGGCAATAATAATCCTTTTCATTATAATAAGACGACACGTTTTATTCATATCAGAATCAGATACACATTGTGCACGTAGCTTCACATTTGACCCTATTCTTCTCCCAGTTCACCGCCCTCTTACTCTCATGTATTTCGTGAGAAGACGTGTGTAAATCCAACAGATCCGATTCTCTGAACTGTGGCACAAACTAACATGGCGCCGCCCGTCGCGCATACAGCTCAGCTAACGCGATCTTATACAGGCGTTTAAACAACGAAACACATCCACTTACACATATTTGACAAGCGGAATATCAGTGTTTCATGCTATAGCGAATACATTTGTGAATATTTTTGATAAAAAGGAAAAATTACATATAAGCAGATCATCATTCATTCAGCGCTGTGTCACGTGACAAGCAATGACGCGTCACCATGGAAACATTAAAGTGACAAGTTCTAAATAACGGTCGCCTTGAAAAACTCACGCTGGGGGGTCACTTAGAATATTTTAAACTTACGTGTGAAAGGGTTAAAAGTGGAAGCTTGTGCGTAGCTTTGTTGCATTATATTGAAACTGTTGATGTTGTTGTTTTCATGCGTCTTCTGGTTATTAGCGCATGATTAAACATCAGTCTTTATATGGCGATAAAACAAAGCTTTGTTCCGTTTTTGTTGCGTTTTTTTTTTATTGGGGATTGGGGGTGTGCCAACCCGGTTGGGACATAGAAGGGGGTGCGCAGGAAAAAAAGTTTGGGAACCGCTGCACTAGGGGTTGAACGCATAGACAGTATAAGAAATGGACAGAGCATCTCATTGGAACTCAGTTGAGACAGTTGAAGCCCACTTTTAGCGATTTTTGAGCTCTTCCGTTCCTGACGCGCAGACTCAGACCGACTCAAACTAAGCTTGATGGCGTGAGCAACCTGTCTGACAGACGTTACTCTTCTAGTAGCTGTGCGTGAAAACTGCCAACGTTAATCTTGCAGAGACGGGGAACTTGAGCAAAGAGTTCTTTGGCGTGAGTGAGCAGGAGTAAGTATCCCGATGCTTTTATGGACTCATTATCTATGGGCTTCTCCCTTGACGGGACGTCCCCCGATCGCCTGCGAGCTTCTCCTCCTGTCTGTACGGTAATTTCTGTACAGCGCGACAGAGAGTCGAGTGGTTATGATGCAATCGTTAGCCTATTTTTACTAAATCTGTTTCTACGGGGCCATAGTGTAACATAGAAGGTAATGGAGCCCTTTATACATTGTCGTGTTTCTTTAGAAATAAATAATGGACAAATGGAGTCTTTAAACGCCTCAGATGTAAAGTTATTCGCTGTCAAAGTGACGCCAAAATGAATGGGAGTCAATGGAAATGCTAAACAGCCCGCAGTTACATCATCATTTAGGATGAAAAGAAAAGGAAAAAAAGCTATAAATTCACAGCTGCGCCTTAGTGATGCGCAGATCCAAGTAATACAAAATAATATTCCAATTAATTGCGGGTGAATTAGCTACATCATTAATATGTTTAAATAAAAAAAAGAAAAAAAAATGTTTTAATGATTTTAATAAAGATCCTGAACTCTCATTTCCGGTAAAACAGTGAGCGTGCGTCATGCTTTTACTTTCGTTTTCAACAATATCTAGTGTTAGGTTAGTAAAGTATTCACACACACTTGATGTACCAATGCTGCTTTCTTGCTGCAATGACCCTCTGGGCTCTTCATCTGTTGTCGTCTGCAACATGTTAGTATCAAAATTAGCGCGATCATAGTGTCACATGATCAACGCGACTAGTCGACGTCAAGCTTAAAGCGTCGCGGTATTTCATTAAGGTCGACTAGTCGGTTCAACCCCTAACACACACACACCGCACGACATACACACCCTCGTCAACAACCTGGAGCTGCTCCCCGGGAGAGGAGCGCAGTACATCCGCGCCGCAGGTCCGACACACACACTCTCACACACACACACACACTGACTCTGACTCTCGTGTGCAGGGACCTGTGGGGTGTTGCTGAGGAAGGTCAACGGCACAGCCATCGTTCAGCTGCCGTCCAAACACCAGATCCAGGTGAGACTCAGAGACTCGGTTACGGTTCTCCAGAACCTGTGTCGTCCCGGAGCTGTGTGTGTGTGTGTGTGTGTGTGTGTGTGTGTGTGCCGTCCCACCAGAGGACACCTCACTATACACACTCAAGTGTTTATGTCAGTGCTTTTGATCTATTAGTATCTGTAGATCTCCACTTCAGCAGCTTCACACACACACACACACACACACACACACACACACACACACACACACACACACACTCACACACACACCAAATTATTCTTCATATCTATTGTTCATCATTATACAACATTTTACTTCTACAAACAATGAAAATGATTTGCTGACAGTATTTTCAGGTTTATGTGACAACAGGAAACACTGTTCAGGCGCTATCTGTATTTAGTTTACTCGTGGTCAGCATCAGATGTGTGTGTGTGTGTGTGTGCTCCAGATGTGTGTGTGTGTGTGCTCCAGATGTGTGTGTGTGTGTGCTCCAGATGTGTGTGTGTGAGTGCTCCAGATGTGTGTGTGTGAGTGCTCCAGATGTGTGTGTGTGTGCTCCAGATGTGTGTGTGTGTGCTCCAGATGTGTGTGTGTGTGCTCCAGATGTGTGTGTGTGTGTGCTCCAGATGTGTGTGTGTGTGTGCTCCAGATGTGTGTGTGTGAGTGCTCCAGATGTGTGTGTGTGCTCCAGATGTGTGTGTGTGTGCTCCAGATGTGTGTGTGTGTGCTCCAGATGTGTGTGTGTGTGCTCCAGATGTGTGTGTGTGAGTGCTCCAGATGTGTGTGTGTGTGCTCCAGATGTGTGTGTGTGTGCTCCAGATGTGTGTGTGTGTGCTCCAGATGTGTGTGTGTGTGCTCCAGATGTGTGTGTGCTCCAGATGTGTGTGTGTGTGCTCCAGATGTGTGTGTGTGTGTGCTCCAGATGTGTGTGTGTGCTCCAGATGTGTGTGTGTGCTCCAGATGTGTGTGTGTGTGCTCCAGATGTGTGTGTGTGTGCTCCAGATGTGTGTGTGTGTGCTCCAGATGTGTGTGTGAGTGTGTGTGTGCTCCAGATGTGTGTGAGTGCTCCAGATGTGTGTTTGTGCTCCAGATGTGTGTGTGTGAGTGCTCCAGATGTGTGTGTGAGTGTGTGTGTGTGCTCCAGATGTGTGTGAGTGCTCCAGATGTGTGTGTGTGTGTGTGTGTGTGTGTGTGCTCCAGATGTGTGTGAGTGCTCCAGATGTGTGTGTGTGCTCCAGATGTGTGTGTGTGTGCTCCAGATGTGTGTGTGTGTGTGTGCTCCAGATGTGTGTGTGTGAGTGCTCCAGATGTGTGTGTGTGTGCTCCAGATGTGTGTGTGTGTGCTCCAGATGTGTGTGTGAGTGCTCCAGATGTGTGTGTGTGAGTGCTCCAGATGTGTGTGTGTGCTCCAGATGTGTGTGTGTGTGCTCCAGATGTGTGTGTGTGAGTGCTCCAGATGTGTGTGTGCGTGCTCCAGATGTGTGTGTGCGTGCTCCAGATGTGTGTGTGAGTGCTCCAGATGTGTGAGTGTGTGAGTGCTCCAGATGTGTGTGAGTGCTCCAGATGTGTGTGAGTGCTCCAGATGTGTGTGAGTGCTCCAGATGTGTGTGAGTGCTCCAGATGTGTGTGTGAGTGCTCCAGATGTGTGTGTGTGAGTGCTCCAGATGTGTGTGAGTGCTCCAGATGTGTGTGTGTGAGTGCTCCAGATGTGTGTGTGTGCTCCAGATGTGTGTGTGTGTGTGCTCCAGATGTGTGTGTGTGCTCCAGATGTGTGTGTGTGTGCTCCAGATGTGTGTGTGTGAGTGCTCCAGATGTGTGTGTGAGTGCTCCAGATGTGTGTGTGTGAGTGCTCCAGATGTGTGTGAGTGCTCTAGATGTGTGTGTGTGAGTGCTCCAGATGTGTGTGTGTGCTCCAGATGTGTGTGTGTGTGCTCCAGATGTGTGTGAGTGCTCCAGATGTGTGTGTGTGTGCTCCAGATGTGTGTGTGTGAGTGCTCCAGATGTGTGTGTGCGTGCTCCAGATGTGTGTGTGCGTGCTCCAGATGTGTGTGTGAGTGCTCCAGATGTGTGTGTGTGTGTGTGCTCCAGATGTGTGTGAGTGCTCCAGATGTGTGTGAGTGCTCCAGATGTGTGTGAGTGCTCCAGATGTGTGTGAGTGCTCCAGATGTGTGTGTGAGTGCTCCAGATGTGTGTGTGTGAGTGCTCCAGATGTGTGTGAGTGCTCCAGATGTGTGTGTGTGAGTGCTCCAGATGTGTGTGTGTGCTCCAGATGTGTGTGAGTGCTCCAGATGTGTGTGTGTGCTCCAGATGTGTGTGAGTGCTCCAGATGTGTGTGTGCGTGCTCCAGATGTGTGTGTGAGTGCTCCAGATGTGTGTGTGAGTGCTCCAGATGTGTGTGAGTGCTCCAGATGTGTGTGTGAGTGCTCCAGATGTGTGTGTGAGAGTGCTCCAGATGTGTGTGTGAGAGTGCTCCAGATGTGTGTGAGTGCTCCAGATGTGTGTGTGTGAGTGCTCCAGATGTGTGTGTGTGAGTGCTCCAGATGTGTGTGTGTGCTCCAGATGTGTGTGTGTGCTCCAGATGTGTGTGTGAGTGCTCCAGATGTGTGTGTAAAGCGTGTGCTCTTAATCTCTCAGGTGTTGGAGACGTGTGTGGCTACAGTGGGCCGAGTGTCTAACGTGGACCACAACAAGCGCATCATCGGGAAGGCGGGTCGGAACCGCTGGCTGGGCATCCGGCCCTCGAGCGGCCGCTGGCAGAGGAAGGGCGGCTGGGCGGGGCGCAAGATCAGACGCCTGCCGCCCATCAAGAGCTTCGTCACGCCCGCGCAATAAACTGAGCGTCGCAGTAACACCTGTGTCACGGGTCACGTCTGTTCACACACACACACACACACACACACACACACACACGGGTCACATCTGTTCACACACACACACACACACACACACACACCTGTGTCACGGGTCACGTCTGTTCACACACACACACACACACACACACACACGGGTCACATCTGTTCACACACACACACACCTGTGTCACGGGTCACGTCTGTTCACACACACACACACACACACACACCTGTGTCACGGGTCACGTCTGTTCACACACACACACACACACACACACACACACACCTGTGTCACGGGTCACGTCTGTTCACACACACACACACACACACACGGGTCACGTCTGTTCACACACACACACACACGCCTGTGTCACGGGTCACGTCTGTTCACACACACACACACCTGTGTCACGGGTCACGTCTGTTCACACACACACACACACACACCTGTGTCACGGGTCACGTCTGTTCACACGCACACACACCTGTGTCACGGGTCACGTCTGTTCACACGCACACACACCTGTGTCACGGGTCACGTCTGTTCACACACACACACACACACACCTGTGTCACAGGTCACGTCTGTTCACACACACACACACACACACGGGTCACGTCTGTTCACACACACACACACACACACCTGTGTCACGGGTCACGTCTGTTCACACGCACACACACCTGTGTCACGGGTCACGTCTGTTCACACACACACACACACACACACACACACACACACCTGTGTCACAGGTCACGTCTGTTCACACACACACACACACCTGTGTCACGGGTCACGTCTGTTTACACACACACACACCTGTGTCACGGGTCACGTCTGTACACACACACACACACACACACACCTGTGTCACGGGTCACGTCTGTTCACACACACACACACACGGGTCACGTCTGTTCACACACACACACACGCCTGTGTCACGGGTCACGTCTGTTCACACACACACACACCTGTGTCACGGGTCACGTCTGTTCACACACACACACACACACACCTGTGTCACAGGTCACGTCTGTTCACACACACACACACCTGTGTCACGGGTCACGTCTGTTCACACACACACACACACACACACACACACCTGTGTCACAGGTCACGTCTGTTCACACACACACACACCTGTGTCACGGGTCACGTCTGTTTACACACACACACACCTGTGTCACGGGTCACGTCTGTTCACACACACACACACACCTGTGTCACAGGTCACGTCTGTTCACACACACACACACACACACGCCTGCCGCCCATCAAGAGCTTCGTCACACCCGCGCAATAAACTGAGCGTCGCAGTAACACCTGTGTCACGGGTCACGTCTGTTCACACACACACACACGGGTCACATCTGTTCACACACACACACACCTGTGTCACGGGTCACGTCTGTTCACACACACACACACACACACACACACGGGTCACATCTGTTCACACACACACACACACACACACCTGTGTCACGGGTCACGTCTGTTCACACACACACACACACACCTGTGTCACGGGTCACGTCTGTTCACACACACACACACACACACACACACACCTGTGTCACGGGTCACGTCTGTTCACACACACACACACACACACACACACGGGTCACGTCTGTTCACACACACACACACACGCCTGTGTCACGGGTCACGTCTGTTCACACACACACACACCTGTGTCACGGGTCACGTCTGTTCACACACACACACACACACACCTGTGTCACGGGTCACGTCTGTTCACACGCACACACACCTGTGTCACGGGTCACGTCTGTTCACACACACACACACACACACACACACACCTGTGTCACAGGTCACGTCTGTTCACACACACACACACACACCTGTGTCACGGGTCACGTCTGTTTACACACACACACACCTGTGTCACGGGTCACGTCTGTTCACACACACACACACACACACACACACACACACACCTGTGTCACGGGTCACGTCTGTTCACACACACACACGGGTCACGTCTGTTCACACACACACACACGCCTGTGTCACGGGTCACGTCTGTTCACACACACACACACCTGTGTCACGGGTCACGTCTGTTCACACACACACACACACACACACCTGTGTCACAGGTCACGTCTGTTCACACACACACACACACCTGTGTCACGGGTCACGTCTGTTTACACACACACACACCTGTGTCACGGGTCACGTCTGTTCACACACACACACACACCTGTGTCACAGGTCACGTCTGTTCACACACACACACACACACCTGTGTCACGGGTCACGTCTGTTCACACACACACACACACGGGTCACGTCTGTTCACACACACACACGCCTGTGTCACGGGTCACATCTGTTCACACACACACACACACACACGCCTGCCACCCATCAAGAGCTTCGTCACGCCCGCGCAATAAACTGAGCGTCGCAACTACACCTGTGTCACGGGTCACGTCTGTTCACACACACACACACCTGTGTCACGGGTCACGTCTGTTCACACACACACACACCTGTGTCACGGGTCACGTCTGTTCACACACACACACACGGGTCACGTCTGTTCACACACACACACACGGGTCACGTCTGTTCACACACACACACACCTGTGTCACGGGTCACGTCTGTTCACACACACACACACCTGTGTCACGGGTCACGTCTGTTCACACACACACACACGGGTCACGTCTGTTCACACACACGCCTGTGTCACGGGTCACGTCTGTTCACACACACACACACGGGTCACGGGTCACGTCTGTTCACACACACACACACCTGTGTCACGGGTCACGTCTGTTCACACACACACACACGGGTCACGTCTGTTCACACACACACACACCTGTGTCACGGGTCACGTCTGTTCACACACACACACACGGGTCACGTCTGTTCACACACACACACGGGTCACGTCTGTTCACACACACACGCCTGTGTCACGGGTCACGTCTGTTCACACACACACACACACCTGTGTCACGGGTCACGTCTGTTCACACACACACACACACACACACACACACCGGGTCACGTCTGTTCACACACACACACACACACGGGTCACGTCTGTTCACACACACAGATGGGTCACGTCTGTTCACACACACACACACACATACGCCTGTGTCACGGGTCACGTCTGTACACACACACACACACACACACACATACGCCTGTGTCACGGGTCACGTCTGTTCACACACACACACACACACACACACACACGCCTGTGTCACGGGTCACGTCTGTTCACACATACACACACACGGGTCACGTCTGTTCACACATACACACACACGGGTCACGTCTGTTCACACATACACACACACACACATACGCCTGTGTCACGGGTCACGTCTGTTCACACACACACACACACACACACACGGGTCACGTCTGTTCACACACACACACACACACGGGTCACGTCTGTTCACACACACAGATGGGTCACGTCTGTTCACACACACACACACACATACGCCTGTGTCACGGGTCACGTCTGTACACACACACACACACACATACGCCTGTGTCACGGGTCACGTCTGTTCACACACACACACACACGCCTGTGTCACGGGTCACGTCTGTTCACACATACACACACACGGGTCACGTCTGTTCACACATACACACACACACACACACGCCTGTGTCACGGGTCACGTCTGTTCACACACACACACACACACACATACGCCTGTGTCACGGGTCACGTCTGTTCACACACACAGACGGGTCACGTCTGTTCACACATACACACACACGGGTCACGTCTGTTCACACACACACACACACACACATACGCCTGTGTCACGGGTCACGTCTGTTCATACACACAGACGGGTCACGTCTGTTCACACATACACACACACGGGTCACGTCTGTTCACACACACACACACACACACATACGCCTGTGTCACGGGTCACGTCTGTTCACACACACACACGGGTCACGTCTGTTCTCACACACACACACACACACACACACATACGCCTGTGTCACGGGTCACGTCTGTTCACACACACACACACGGGTCACGTCTGTTCTCACACACACACACACACAGACATACGCCTGTGTCACGGGTCACGTCTGTTCACACACACACACACACAACACGTCTGTTCACACACACACACACACACACACATCTTGTGCGGTTAAAAACCCTTTATTAAACACAACTGCATGTGTAAGCATGGAAAGCAGCAACGTTATAAAATGACACTTCATTCTCCAATGTAAAACATGCAAAGGTAAAATCGTGTTTTCAAAAGTGTGTATAAATGAGGTCTTGTGCAGCGATGCGGTCAGCGGCACACGGCCCGACACGCCGGCGCTGTTACGGCGAGTTCTGGAGTCATGCGCTCAGAAGAGAAGAGCTCACGTCTGACAGGCGTACACACACTCCCTTCAGGAAATGAGGAGAGCTCACAGTGGTGTGTAAAGCAACACCCAAAGATCATCATCATTCTGGCGTTACTCACCCAGAACACCCAAACCTCTCCTGTGACGCTCGAGATGATGACCTTTCCAAGAGCGCTGGGAACCAAACAACAACATTGGACCCCATTGACTTTCATTATGCACAAATAAACACTGAAGGCAAGTGTTCCGGGTCGGGAGGGAGAGTAAACGATGGCCGAATGATGATCTTTGGCTGAACCGCCACTTTAAATCAAAGTGTTCATGACTCCAGAACTCGTAGTAAAAGTGCAAATGCTGCGTGTGAATCTGGAGTTGATGAAGCCGCTGTCATGAAGGAACTGAGCGTCTCGATACAGTCATCAGCAGCGTGAGGGTCGCCCTGGAAGCGGTCACAGGAGGAGAGCAGCGCCGTAGACATCCACAGTCCAGCGGGATGAACACACTGATGGATCCGCTGCTGCTAAACTGAAGAAAACGGTTAAACTAAAACCCAGTGTTGAAAAGATTCCGACTGAAGCACACACTCGATCTCCCATGATGCTTCAGTGCTTCAGACCGTTCCTGTCACTCATAAACTGCAGCTTGTGCTTTTATGAAACGGCAAAATATGGCTTGTCAAAATCACACACTGGCTTTGGTTTACTCTGAGGTCTGTGATCACATGACCACAGCTTCACTGGTTAAACACGAGTGTGTTTGTGCTGTGATGGGCAGAAGCAGATCTGTAAAGGTCACGTTCACACCAAGAACGATAACTATATTAGCAGGTCATATCCTTCTGCTGATTATAAGCGCTTCTGTCGCTTTAAATGCTCGAGTTCCTAAAGCCGGACGGATTCTGATTGGCTGTCAGTGTTTTTATGGTTCATCAGCTGGAATGACATCACTCTGAAAGTGATTCCAACCAGATCGTTCTTCTGTGTCGTTATAGTTATCGCTGTGATTCTTATTGAGTTAGAGCGAATATTAAAAATACAGAAATAGTGTAGACATAAAGCTGACTGGACTTGGTGTGAACGGGCCTTTACGCTCGGCTTGTGTCATGTGACAGTCACGCTCTTCACACATGAACACACATCACAGAGGAACTCTTCTCTGTCCAACGTTTGTGCTTTGAAAAGGCAGGTTCAGTTTAGCGTTTCAAATTCATAGTGTAACTACAAAATATCACAAAGACACAAAACAGCTTTTACATTTGGGTAAAAAAACATTTAAATTCACAGCAAAACACCTCGACACGACCTCTCGACACACACGTGTTCAGGATCCGTCCCATCATGCAACATTCTACACAGGATTTCACAGAAATTATAAAGTAGCAAAAACAACAGAAAGTGCTTGACGTCTGCCGTCACCGTACAGTTCATCATGGCCTAAAAATATATATATTCATATAAAATATCACTAGTGCTGTTTATATAGTGTCAAAAACAGCAACTGAACACACACACACACACACACACACACAACGGTAGAAATGAACTGGAGACAGTCAGGTTTCCATGGGAAACTCGTCAGTGAACGCGCAGTGGCTTCTCTCCTCCAGCACACACACTCACACACACGCCTGTAGACGTCACATGGGTTTGCTGTAGCCGAACACACCGACGGGGAAGTGCTTGACGTGAGTCGGCCACTGGGCGGCCAGCTGGAAGAACTTCACATCGTTCCACTCCACGCCGTCGATCGAGACTGAAACACACACACACACGTTCACCGTTACTGACCGTCCGCTCACACACTGAATCATCAACAGCCGCGTTTCCTCGTCGGGGTGTCTGGGCCACCGAACGCCTCGGCCCAGCGGATCGGCTCGAGGAGTCCCTGAGCCGGGTGATGCGTTACACCAGCTGACATCAGCATCACTTGAGCTCAAAACTCACTTTCAGCAGCGAGTGTTGGGAATAACTCCTGCTCGAGACCCGATGTGCACTCTGACACCATACAAGGCAGAAATATTCATATGAAATGCAAAACACAAGGTGAATATGAAATCAGACTAATCATATAGGCGATCACAATCATGTTTTTATCTGTCAGTGCGTCTCGTCTCTTTATACCGGACTGTCAGATCATATTTAGCTCCGCATGTGTCATACAATAAACCGCATCCGGTTCCCGAGAGCTTCCTCTGTCTGACGGGTGTGTCCCTGTGCTGGGAGAGAGTGCTGAAGCTCCTGTGTTTGGAGAAATCAGCATTCTTTCTAATGCGATGTGAACGTACTGTCCTGTGACTGCAAATAAAGTGTGTCCTCTTTCTTTTGTGATTAAACGGTAAATACCACTTTATTTCTGTGTGACTAATGTGCAATTTTGACACAAATTAATTATGATCAATGTATCACTTTTTTATTGTAAACCGGTGTTAAAACATCTATGCTTTAGGTAAACAACAGTAATGTCAGCAAACGGCCGCTTTTATCATGTTCGGTTCGCGATCTCGCGGTTTCCAGTGATTTCTTTCTGATTAGTTTTCTGATGAAACTTCCATTTGTTGGTGAAATGATGTGTGTGTGTGTGTGTGTGTGTGTGTGTGTGACGTTGATCCAGAGAGGCGTGTTTTAGTGCAGAAACGCAGTGTATTTTGGGCTGGTGTTCCGGACCCGAGGCTCTTGGCCTCACCCGCCCGTTTAAAGCCCGGCTCACACTGAGGCCGACCGTGGAAACGCGACTATTCAGCGTGAATCACCCATAAACACGTTCACACACACACATACGGGAACATTACATGATATCAGGGCCGTGCACAGACATTTTGGAGGGCAGTGGCTTAAACCAAAAAAAGGGGCACTATAAGGAGTTTGACTGACAACATACACGATGGTGTATGTTGTCAGTGTACTCCGCTTCGCGTCGTGACCGCATTACCTTCTCGGGTGTGCATTATTTTTCTAATAATTCAACGGCCTGTCGTCAATTATTCCTTACTTAATACATTAACTTATGTCGCAGAATGCTCTTCTTCAAACTGAATCAGCAGCCGTGTGACTGTATGGAAGTTCTTTGAATGCATGATTGCTTCCACATTTTACAGCAGTGTTTGGAAATTGTGAGAAAATTAAGCACAACATTAAATCTTGAGCATTATGATGTAATTATTTGTGATTGACAGTTAATAGAAATATGACAGAGTTTGCTATTGGAGCACTGTGTGCATACGCAGGCCCCGGGTGTGTGTGTGCGTTGGTGAAGGAAGCACCTCTGAGCATGGTGTGCTGGTGTCTGGCCGTACAGATGAGCCGGCTGATGCCGTCGATCACCTGACTCTTAGAATCCACATCCTTCTCCTTCAGCTTCTTACTGAGGAAAATCACTGCAACACACGCAAGAAAACACACACTGATCCTGATGGACAGACCCTGAGAGAAACCGAGCGTGGACTCTCGATGCGGTGTGTGTGTGTGTGTGTGTGGATCAGAACCTTTCTTGTTCTTCTCTCTGGTGACGACGGTCATGGCCATGCAGTGTGTGGGACTGGTGTCGCCCCCGCTGGGCAAACGGCTGACCTGCAGCGAGCGGAAGTTGCTCTTCAGTGTGTTCTTCACGTCACGCTTCTCACACTCACGCTTCTTCTCTCCGCTCGGCCACGTCCAGTAGTCCACCTGAAGCCCCATCAGCTCTCCACCTGTGCACGGGGAACTGCACACACACACACACACAGGTGTGAACACACGCATACAACTGTACACACATGCACACACACACACACGCATACACTTGTACACACACACACACACATACACCTGTACACACATGCACACACACGCATACACCTGTACACACACACACGCACAAACACGCACGCACACACAGGTGTAAACACACGCATACACCTGTACACACATGCACACACACACAGACTCACACACACGCATACTCACACACACGCATACACCTGTACACACATGCACACACACACAGACTCACACACACGCATACTCACACACACGCATACACCTGTACACACATGCACACACACACAGACTCACACACACGCATACTCACACACACCCATACACCTGTACACACATGCACACACACACAGACTCACACACACGCATACACCTGTACACACATGCACACACACACACAGACTCACACACACGCATACACCTGTACATACATGCAGATGCACACACACACACAGACTCACACACACCCATACACACACACATGCACAAACATATGCACAAAAACACACAAGCACACAGACTTACACACACGTGTACACACATACACACGCATAAACACGCACGCACACACACATGCACAAACACGTACACATGCACAAACAAATGCACACACAGACTCACACACATGCATACACATGCACAAACACACACACACGCATACACATGTACACACACATGCACAAACAAATGCACACACACAGACTCACACACACGCATACACAAACATAAATACGCACACACGCATACACGTGTGCACACACATGCATAAATACAGATGCACACACATGCACAAACACACACATACACACACACACACATGCACAAACACACACAT